CTCTTCATGCCACAATATGACTGAGGTGTGTTTACATATGCTAATTCTACCTTTTTTTTTTTTTTTTTTACTATATTTTAAATCATCATCCCATGAGAACTTATAATAGCTCTGTAATGCTGGTTTGATTTAATGATAAGAGAAAGGAACTGAGGCATGGAGATTAATGACAACCTGTCAAATAACTACCCAGGCTGAGACAAAACCTCATTTTCTGGCTCCTAGCTAGCCAATATTGTCTCATTCAGCATTGCTGTCTCTCCAAGGGAGAAAGTTCCTACCCTCAAGGAAACACTGGGTACTCTGTCCCCATCATCACTCCCACTACAGGGCTCTGTACCCAGAAAATGCTGACTCCTAGACAGAAGCCAGCATAGTAACTCCTGGCACATTGCCAGGACCTGGGGTAAATGCCTACACAAAACATCAGGGTAGAGACATCGCCAAATACAATCCCAGCATCATTGTTCCTTATGGGAAAGTAAAATAATCATCAAGGGAAAAAAATCACTGCCTTCTCTGAATAGACTTCCTATGAACTATGAAAATGAGGGTAAACTGTTTTGTCAGTTTGCCTAGCTTCCTGAGCCCTCATCACACAGTCTCACATACATCTTCATCCAAGTAGAATGAAAGCTGACCTTTTGGTGTATTTATGGCTTACCTAGTACAACTTCAGTTTAAGACTTCTAATTGCTTTGAAAGTTAGCAATAGAACTGGAATTATGTGACTATGTTTAACAGACATAGATCTTATGCTGAGAGATGAAAAAAAAAAAATGATCGTGCATGACTTCCACAGAAAGTCATTCAACCACAGCTAAATCTGGCTTCAGAGCCAGCCAGCCAGCCTTACCAAACACCCACCATGCCTCCTACCTTCTAAAATGCACAGTGCTCACAGTTCCTCCCAGGTCCACAATCCATAGAGACTCACCTGGCCAAGTGTGATGCTCTGCATCTTTCAGCTCACTAATCCAAATCCTGCATTCATACACATTGCGTGCATTTGAGACACTCCAGGAAAAGTCTCCACCTGTGGAAATCAATAAACAGATAATTCTTAACCCCATGTCACTTTCTCATTATGACAAATGCACAATCTGAGCCCAGCTCCCCACAAGCCAGCCACAGATCTCCCAGACTGTCTCCCCAGCAGCATTTGCCCCTGTACCCTTTCTCCCTCAAGCCCCAATCCCCTCATCACTAACACTAACCTGCCCTTCAGGATGACATGGAAATGTCAGTTTATCTAGAAAGTGGATTCCCCAAGGCTGTGCTAGATTACGCATACAATGTGCTCCTAAAACAACTTCTAAGGAACTAAATATTCACTTCCTAGGAGAACTTCTTATTGCAACTTGCAAATGGAATAGATTTGCATTAAATCCTGACTCCAAACCAAAAATCAAAATACACTAATTCTATGAAAACTGAAACTTAGTTACTTCACTTGTCTTTCTGTCCATCCTATCGAGGAGTCTAAGCTCTTTGAAAGCAGGAGCTGAGTCTTATTTTTAGTAGTAGCTCCAGTCCTAGCACAAGCACTGACAGCTAAGGGTCACTCGATACCAGTTTAATTAATACTGTTAGATTGCAGAGGGTCTAGAGTTTGTATTGTCTTTGTGCAATTGTAGCTGAAGGTCACATGCCATGTGACCAAAATGCAATACTAGACAGTGTAGATTTTACCTAAACTGATCATCCAGGCCAAAAGTTCAATTTACAAGACTTTTATCTTAAATGTTAATAGCTCAGCAACTATATTTAAAATTCTACCAAAACATGAGTTGACAACTTTTCCGTACTTTTGGCATTGTGTGATTTTTTGAATACAGGACGGAGCTGAAAATAGAGCACTTTTTGTACTGCAGAGCTAGACTCAAAATCACCTACACTGGCTATCTGGTCGTGCTGTCAGGCAGTTTTCATTGCTGTGTTCATGGGGAACCTAAGAGGACAGAGGCATGCCAAGCCTGAGAGTGACCAAGCCCAAGTCACAAAGAAGCTCACAAGCCTGTCTGCAAACAGAAATGAGAACTCCTGGTGGTGGCGTGTCAGGGCTCTGTGCTGAACAGGACTCTTTTTCTGAGATGTTCTCTATGGATACCCTTGCTGGGACACGATCTTTGCCCTTGAAGAAATGGGTTTTGCAGGAGCACCACTTAACATGAAAAACCTAAAGTGTCAGGTTCAGTAATATGTATCTCATAAATGGGCACATCTTATAAATGAGCATTACGATTTAAGCCACAGATTAAACATTAATGACAATGTGTAAATGAGACCCAGAGGAAGACGCACTAGCTAGACTGTCCCTTATAAAAGATAGACACAATCATATTTTCCATGTATTCATTTTTTTCTTTTTTTAATAAGATCCCAAATCCCCCTAAGCACAGACACTTACGGTAAATCTAAAAAAAAGAAAAAAGAATTACTGTACACATCCTTCATGAAATGCAGGAGAGTTTCTGACTTGTTTTTATCATTTTATTACTGGTCTACTTTAATAAGATTTCAGTCTGATCTAATTCAAAAGCTACATTGTACCTTCTCTTTCTGTATCTTCACTCATCCCTTTAATGACTAGGAGTTAGAAAACATGTCAGAAATGGATCTTTAAATAATCAAAGTGTTACTTGTTACTTCAAGTGGTTAACAGGTTCTTTAATAAAACTGGGCATTTTTAGTTCTCTTGACACTCCCAGAAAACAATCATCCAGGGCAAAAAGTCACCTGTTTCATTATTAACACTAAACATTTTCCTGATGCTGTAGGGGAAGAAAAAAAAAAAAAAAAAGGCTAGAATTGAATATGTTCCTGAAAATATTTAGAATCTTTGCAAGCATATGCTACATATATTATAGGAAAAACTCCTTCTGGGTCATGTCTCTGGTGATAAATTAGTGGCTTCTTGTGCTTAAGCACGTGCATTGAAGGCAGGCTAGTACAATGACCTCCGTGGAACTTTCAATCAAATCTTGCACAGAACCAGGGCTCCAGAGGTGATATTATTTCTTCCCAAGGAAGAGAGGCAGCTCCGTTTAATTTAGTACCTCAATCTCAGAAAATAGACAGAAAAACCACATAATCAAAAAAAAATGTAAGGCCCCACCAATTCAAAAAAAAAAAAAAAAAAAGGAAGTAGGTAATTAAAGATTAAAAATACCCTGAAATCTTAATGTGCCAGTATAAACATGCCTCAGGATACCATGGCAACATTCTCTTCTTTTTTAATGAAATTGATTAATTAGCCTGTGAGCCTGCAAAATGTCAGAGCAAGAGGATTGAGAATGCCTCTCTCCACAGCTAACACCTTACCTCATCTCCTTCCTGAGCTTGTCAATCGAAACACTAGAGGTTGATCTGTGGAAGAAATCTCCAACTATAGCTCTGTTTTAAATGCATGAGGAAAGTGGAGACTTCGATAGCATGCATTCCAAATCAGCTCTGAAGATCCAGAGATGAGGGTGTCTCAGATATATAAGCTCAAACGAAACACATCCCATTTCACTGGGGCACCAGTGGAAGGAGAGAAATGAGGAAGGAAGTAGTTTTGCAACTTGAACCAGCTAGAAACAAGTAAATGTATGCGTGTGTCTGTATGACAAAGCTATGAAGTAAAGAGATCATTTCCACAATTCACACATGGAAATTTCATGTTATAGTCATATCTCATGTGTATATATGTAAAGATTAGATGCAAATATATTAGCACATTTTTACATACACTATAACTCTCTAGGTGTTACTAGGCACAAAATGAAATGGGAGACTTTCCTGCTTCTTTAGGGAAAGGGAGGTCATTCTTTTTTTGGAAGCAGAAGCAAGGACTATCTTTGCTACAAGACCAAACCAAGTCAAACTGAATATAGAGAGATTGCTTGCCACCTGTCTTACTGTCCCACTCACATAAAAAGACACCTTCACACACCATACTTCTCTGCTTCGTGAGAACCAGAAATTCCTATCATTAGATCAGGGTTGTTCAATCTCAGCACTGTTTTCATTTGGGTCCAGATAATTCTTTGGTGCTTGAGGCATTCTGTGTATTGTAGGATATTTAGCAGATTCCTATGAGGGTCTCTACCCATTAGATTCCAGTAATATCCCTCAGCTGTGACAACCAAAATTATCTCCTGACAGTGCCAAATGTACCTGGGTTGGGGAAGAGGAGGCGTAAGGGGCAAAATCCCCCTCCAATGAGAATCACTGCATTAGAATAATCAGTGAATAAGAGAAAAAAAGTAGAGCGCTATCCCTTATGGAAATCAAGGAAGGCCACCCAAATGAGAACAAGCAAGACTGTTTATTCAGAGCTTGCTATAGCAAGGGAGTCAGCCACCATCACTCACAACTGTCAGAGGTTCAAAGTCAGACAGGGGAGCAGAAAGCCTTTGTAGTGAAAAAAGGAAAGGTTTTAGGAGTGCTCCGGTTGGAGAATGCTAGCCTGGCGAAACTGGAGACAGGATATCTTATGTGATTGGTTTGGGAAGCACATTTGGCTTTCTCTGCTGGCCCCGAGTAGGAAGTGAAGGCAAAAAATTGGAAAGCTGGTAGTCACCAAACAAACCAATTTTCAGCATTGGGCCCTAAGTACCCACCACAGTACCTGGAGGCATTTTTATTAGTTTCCCTTTGCTGCTTTACAAATTGCCAATCAGTGGCTTAAAACAGTACAACTCTATTATCTAACGGTTCTGTAGGTTAGATGTCTGATTCATGTTTTAGTTGGCTGTAATCAAGGTGTCAGCTGGCCTAGTATTGCATTTTGGTCGTATAGCATGTGACCTTCAGCTGCAATTGCACAGACAGTACAAAGTCCAGACTGTCTCTAATCTAATACTGTCCCTTAAATGTCAGTGCTTGTGCTAGGGGCTAGAGCTACTATTAAAAATAAGACACAGTTATCTAAAGTTATCTGCTTTCAAAGAGCTCCTTCTGAAGACTCTAGGGAACAAACCATTTTCTTACCTTTTCCAGCTTCTTGAGGCTGCTCACATTCTTTGACTCACAGCCCCTTCTCTACCTTCAAAGCTGGCAACATTGAATCACTTTGCCCGTTCTTTCGTACAGTAAGTCTTCATGTAATACCCTCAACAGGTTCTGCGACTATAAGTGAAATGACGTAAAGAAGCCAATTTTACCATTAGCTAACTGATATGAACAAAAGTTAAGTTCCTATGGCATCTCATCAACATTATAACAAAACAACGATGAAAGAAAGGACGTTATTTGAAGACCTGCTGTAGTTACATCTCCCTCCGACTCTCCTCTTCCGTCTCTCTCATCTGATTTTAAGCACTCTTGTGATTGATTACATTGGGCCCACCTGGACTATCTAAGCTACTCTCTATTGTAAGGTCAGCCCTTTAGAACCCTTAATTTACTGATTGATTGATTATAAATTAATTCCATTCAAAATCTAATTCCCTTTCTCCATCTATCGCAATATATTCATAGGTTCCAGTGACTAGGACATGGACATCTTTGACGTCCATTATTATTTCTAGCACAGCATTAAATAAGCAAAGTGTGGTCCCTGGACCAGCAATATCAGCATCACCTGGCAACCTCTTAGAAATGCAAATTCCGTGAACCTGCTCCAGACCTCCTGAAGCAGAAGCTCTGCAGGTGGGTCCCGGCAACCTGTGTTTTAACAAACTCTCCAGGTGATGCACATTCAGGTTTGAGAAACACCAGTCTACATTCCGTATCTTCTTTCTTCACTCTAAAAGTATGTGGTCACTATGCGAGGCCTTTGCATACCACAACAATTAAATTCCTTAGCAATACACTATTTACCAGAGTCATCTTTCCAAAATGTAAATTATATCACTCCTCTACTCATAACCCTTAAACACAGCTCTCCCCGGTCCTGTCTGGTTAAAGTCCACACTCCTCAGGACGGCATAAAAGCTTCTTTGTCCTCTCACCTCTGTGAGTTTCTCAGCCTCATCTCCTTTATCTCCCCCAAACTCACTAAGCTTCTTGCCGTTCTGGGTCTTTTATGTCTTTAATGCTTCTCACATCCCATTACCTCCCCCTGGAAAGTTAAACCTCTTTGCCTGGCAAACTCTGCCTCCTCCAAGAACCTGCCCTGACCACCACAGGAAGTTGGGGGTTGCATCTTCTGTGGCCTGCAGTCCCTTGTACGAACCTCTACATAGCAGTTTCATGGGAATGATATCACATGTCTGTCTCTCTCCCCAGACTCTGAAGCTTTCACGTGTCAGCATGTGATAACCTAGAACAAAGCAGAGGGCCGGAATATGGGAAGCTCTCTGTGAATGTTAAATGTGTGAACAAATAACACTTAATGAAATATTATTCTAGTCAAATACCTGATGATGTCCTAAAAGCAACCATCATCATATAATTGTGTCCAGAAAAAGGTTTCCTGAAATAGATTGATATTCAAGTGACTCTAGGAATCTTCGATGAGAACAAATTCCTCAAGGGCATGGGAATATTATTGAAACCTTCCCACATCGCAAACCTATTTCTTCACACTTCCTACTACTCCCCCCTGAATAACAACCTGGAACTCAATCGAAAAATCATGAAACAACTAATTGGCTATGGGTCAGCTTGACAAAAGGGTTCCACAGTCCTCCTTTACTTGTGTACTCCACACAAGCAGTCCCAGACTGGTCTGGTGGGATGGGGAGGGAGACGGAGAAGTCCTCAATTGCTACAGAAGGAATGCCTATCCTACATAGACACCAAGGACACCAGCTATTCCACTGCAGAGACATTGATAAGGTTCCTCTTATAGGAGGGTGTAGAGACGAGAGTAGGAGAGATGGCAGAGTGGGAAGTAGCTGCAGGATTTTAAGTCAGGCCTCTAAAGCAGTATTTTTCAGGTTGTGGATGATAACTAATTAGTGGGACATTCAACAATTTATTGAGACTACACTCTGCACTGTTTTTCATAAAATAGAGCATTTTCATAGAATAGAGTATTTAAAAAAATAGAATAGGATAGAATAGACCAAAGTGCACAGCACAAAGAAAGGGTTAAGTATTGTTTCAGTGATTCACACCCCAAAAATGTGTATAGTTGTGATATAAAGTACTTTTCTTATTATAACTCATTGTCAACAGTTTGAAAAACACTGCCCAAAGAGATGGAGCGATGCTGGAAACTTCTCATGGACGACCCCTTTCTCCTCAGCTGGAAGCAATTCCACTCTGAAATCATTGCCTACTTTTCATAGTATAGTTGGCACTTGAGACCTGGCTCATGTGACTCAATGTGATTTCACATATGTGTCCTAGCTTCTCATAGGACTCTAGACACTCTGTGGACCAGGATAGGTTTCATTCCACTTTACAGTTTTCTCCCAGCCTGGCCCAGAGTCTGACACACAAAATAGGCTCTTAATGAATATTGGTTGGTTGGCTGGATCTTACAAACTATCAACTTTATTAAGATCAGGTTAAAAAAAAAAAAAAAAAAGGAAGGAAGAAAGAAAGAAAGAAAAAAGAAATCAATGACTCCCTCAAGAACAGTCCAAATACCAGATGTCCCTTTGACAACAGAACCACAGTACAAAGAAATGCACTATGCCCCCACTAGCAAGAGACAAGAATGGAGCCTCAATTAGGCATTGACAAGAAAAGCTAACACCAAGTCAACCTGTTGTCACTCTGCTTGGAAATCTTTGCTCTTTCCCAGCTGTCAAAATTGAGTGAGACACTGAAGCGGATACAATCAGCTTCTATTTATTATCAATGTTTTACAGCAGCAAGCATTAATAACACATCTTATATTTGTAAGCTTTGGTTTTAGATCATTCTCTGATCTATATTCTCTGATATATAGAGAGCCAATAAGATTTGAGAATATCTGTGGTATCCTGCCTTTGTTAGTAAAAGAATTTCAAAGATAGAGAAAAAAATCAAAATATGGACCTATTTAAGTATTCAGCATCCATGTGTAATTGTTCAATTATGCTGCCACTTTGTGATATATCTGACATGAGGCATTACAATAAAACCAGAAATAAATGCTACACAGAAAACCATAAAATGAGAAGAACCACCAAAATAAGGCCTTGGTATAGACAAAGCTTCCTGCCTCCATGCATAATTTATACTGTCTGTAAAGCCAACACCTGGGAACTGCTAATTTAATTAGTTTGTATTGAACACTTAATTGTAGTAAGCCAAGGTTTCAGACTAGTTTGACAGCTGTTTTCATTATTCTAATTAATCTATGGCATTTGGTTCTCTTTCCCACCTTACTTGGACTTCAACGCTTGCTTCATTTTGTTTAGTCTGAGGAATCAGTTCCACCAGATGACATCTTGTCAACGTTATGCCCCTTTATTTTCCCCAATTCCCCAAATCGATGTGATGATGGCAGAGAGTGCAGCCTGCATCAGGACACTGTCTGTGTTAGTCTCACTGATCATGGCCCAACAACACCCACGTAGGCCAAGTGTCTCCCCGACAAGGTTTTCCCTGAGAGCCCAAACCATCATAAAACCACTTGGCACACATTTGCTAAGTCACTTATCCCAATCACTGCACAAAGCAATACAGTCTGGGTTAAATAAAACACAATCTTTGCCCCCAAGGAGTTCTAGCCCAGTAGAGGACACCAAAAGGATCTCGGCATTAAAATTTCAGAGCAAGCTCTGCCTTAACATTTGCAGGCCTGGGCAGAGGGCACAAATAGAGGCCCTCATATCATATATCTGAATATCTAAACCACATAAATCAAACTAGCAAACAGCTAAATAAAATATGTTCTCTACTGCTATCTTAACAAACACAGGTTCAAAAAGACCCAGAAAAGAGGTTCAAATTTAGAACTAGCAGGACAGAATAAAACCCCAACCCCTAGCCTGTGGCTCACTGCCCTTATCTTCTTCCCCCAGCTCCATGCTGCCCAGTGAGGGGCCTAACACACGTGTATGTGGACACCTTCACATGTCCAAGCTTCATTCACAGTTCCCTCAAACAACTGTCCCTTAATGGACCTGGAGAAGAGACCCACATGGTTCTGGAAACAGACTCAGGCAGAGAGGTTAAGGCCTGGGTATGAAGGTGGGGCGTCCCATCGAAGAAGGCATTACAGAAAGAGGACAGAGCAGGACCCTCGAAAGCAGTATTTCTCAAACATTTATGTACGTAGCATCACCTAGAGAGCATGTTAGCACACAGATTCCTGAGGTAAGGCTTCCATAGGTCTGGGGTGGAGCCTAAGAATTTGTATTTCTACAATGTCCATAAGATCCTGATGCTGCCTGTGGTGATGAATTTTATGTGTGAACTTGACTGGGCTGTGGGATGATCAGATATCTGATTAAACATTCTTTCTGAGTATATCTGTGAGAGTGTTTCCAGAAAGATTCACATTTGAACAGGTAGACTGAGTAAAGCAGATGGCCCTTCCCAGTGTCAGCTGGCGTCATCCAATGCACTGAGGGTCTGACTAGAGCAAAAGGTGGAGGAACCTTCATTACTTAGTTCAACTAAGAGAAGTTAGCAACGTAGAGGGAACAAAAGAGAGAAAGAGTTGAAACAGGCATTCCAGCAGAGGAGGCACTTGTGTGGAGGCAGGAGCATTACATATGCTGGTGAATTTAAAGAATTAAGAATAGATCTAGTTAACTGCAGTGAAGGGTGTGCATAGGAAAACAGCTAAAAGAAAGAGGTATATGCATGTGAGAATTTTTAAGGATGTATGCCCTATGCAAAAGAGATTGAGGGAAAGACAAAGCAGGCTTGGGGAAAAATGTGAGGTCCATTTTGTACATGTTCCCATCCTCTCATCTCCTGTAGTAATTAATGTCTGCAAAGTTCATTTTGTAATTACTCATATACCTCAAGATGAAATCTCTGTTGATATTTTGACATTTGTTTAGGTAATCTATCCTAATTTCACTATCTACATGTCTACAACTTGGCTCCTCAACAGCCTGAGTCATTCGCGAGCAAGAACTATGTGGGTGGGTCTCACAGAACAGGGGCTCATTATTTGTTGATTTGGTTCAAACATGACTGAAGTGCCAATACACTTTGCAAGGGAGTTATTAGCAATGAAAATGTCAAGTAACTTCTCACTGCTGATGACAGAACAAACAACACACTGCATCCCTTTGGAGGTGCTCAGGAAACATTCGTATTTGTAGAATCTGACTTGATAGGCAGAGAGAGGACAGAATAAGTTCCTAAATGGACAGGGGTTTCCACGTTATGTCTTGATCTAAACAGAGTTAATAATAATGGTCATAATTCCTCATGTGGGTCTTAAGAGTTACTTCGAACTCAGAATAGTCTCTTAAAATCTACCAACCTAATAAATTTTACCAACTCCCTTATATGTACCCTTTAACCACTGAATAAGAACAAATGAAGCCACTTTGAAATATAGTTTAAACTCCTCTGCAATAGGAAATGGCATCGTGGTGACTTCTAAGGAAGTAAATCCTCTCTGAGTTGTTAATTTGAAGGTGCAGTGGAAACATTGGTGCCCGTTTCTTTATAAAGTTGCAGCATAAAATCTACAAAGCAGTCACTGAAAAGAAAAATATAGACTCCCCAACTTGCAGTTTAGTGTCCCCTTAAAAAGGTATAATTTCTTAACTCCTTTTGTACCCGAACATTATAGGAAGTATCCACTCCCCACAAATAGGATGACCATCAAATCTGGAACAGCACCTTAAGGCATGGTCAATTATGTGACAAACTTTGCTATGAGAGACTATGCACTCTCATAGTCTCCCTGAGCTGTGTAAATACTGCTGGGAAAGCTGTCCGCCATAGGAGGATGGGAGTGAGAAGCGAAATAAATTAAAACCTTTTGTGATTATATCAGGGCTGCGACAAGACTGCTACTCAGCAAGATAGCCTTATCATTCCCTTCGGATGGACTAAACTTTAGACAGGATTCTTCTGGACTATAGGCCCTTGACCTTCCTTTTCTCAGAGCATTAACTTTAGAAACTTGCAATTGTAAGTTATTTCTCTGCCCCTGTGAGGTGTAAATCCTCTACAACCCAGGAGTATCTTTCTCAAGGACTTAGGAGCCATCCCTTTGAAATGTAATCAGCAAAAAAGATAGGGACCCGGTCTCCCAGTTTCTGTGAGAGGGTAGGAGCTTAACTCTCGTCATAGAAAATGAGGAAACACAAATGGATTGCAAACACAAATCACATTGACCAACCTCCTGCTGGATTCTACCACGTGAGGATCCCAGATCACTAGGAAGAAGGAGATGAGAAGTACGCGTAT